TCGTTTGAGTATTTGTGATGAAGTCTTTTCTGCTTCTTAACTATAGCTATGACTTCCTCCATATCAGCATCAAGATTTCCCAAGGAATCTTCAGAGGAAACCCCCTCTTCCTCTTGCTTTCTACAATACTCTGTGATACGAGTCAGAGTTCTTAAGTGAAAAGGAGTAGCTTCCTCAACCCAGTCTATTGCATCGTTTCCTTCCTCATCAACCAATTTTCCCTGGCCGTCTTCATAATAAAAGCAAGTAGTCTTCATATTTATTTGAAAAAAAAACGAAGTTTAACAAAAAGAAAAGGTCTAAAAAAACCGCCCTTTGGATTATCGAAAACCGCCCTTGAATTAAAAAAAGCCGCCTTTTGGGAATTGAAAAGCCGCCCTTTAGAAATATTTATTAACTGCCTTTTCATTTAAAAAGCCGCCTTTTGGCGTTGGAACGACTGTAGTATAGTCAAAGCTCAATATAGTAATATGGATGGTGAACAGAAATTTTATAACTATCACTATATTGAGCATGTTTTTTTCTTACTCCATGCATTACTTAATGATATTTCTAATGCTGCTGTGAGTGACTACTGTTTTCTAATAGGATTCATAGTATTTTGTCTAAGAAAGTGAGTTTGCTTTAAAGTGCTAAATAAAATATATACTACATTTATTTTTTATAGTATACAAATAAACTCAGAGCTCAATATAGTGATACTAGTGGATTCAAATTTTATCACTATCACTATAGCAAAAAATAGTGATAATAAGCAGGCACAGGCCCAAATTTTCCAGACAATTATCACTATATTGAGCTTTGACTGTATATATTTTATTTAGAATTTTAAAGCAAGCCCAGTTTCTTAGACAAAATACTATGAATTCTACGCCACCAGAGAAATTTCTTATATAATCATAAACCCAAAAGAGTTTAGTGAATCAGAGTTAATTTTATTTCCTTTTATGAATTTAATAATTTTTGCAATAAATACTGGTTGAAAAAATATCACAGATTTAAAAACACGTTTTTGCAAATATTAAAAATAGTTCAAAAAATAGGTTTTTAATTTTGGTTTATTTTGGATTGCAAAAAAATAAAAAAATAAAATACTAGACTGGGCCATGTAATCCGCAGCAGTAGCATACTAGCAAACTGATACTACTGGTTAAAACAATAGTATGGCTGCTAGCATCAATGCCTGTGGATTATGTGGTCAATATATAGTAAGCTAATATATCTAGCTACTCCAAGAGAAAACCAGTGTCATGGATGACATAAAAACCAAAGAGCTTGAAGACTTGAGTGTCAATAAACTTGAAGACATGCATGCCAAGAGACTCTAAGAGAAGAAAAGCAATTAGTAATCATATTTAAAATACTTTTGTCTAAAGATGCTTACGTTTGAGATTCTGCCAAGTCATTTATGATTATAAATAGCTGAATACCTACAAGTAAGAAGAGGAAACATTTAGTATTCTATTGTTTTATAGGCAGAGTATATAGTTATTGCTTCATTACTCATTTAGCCACATAATAAAAAAAACTAATGTATAAACTGGATTGGTATGATTAATAAACATATTGACATATAAAACTAATTTAATAGCACAAATACCTTTGAAGTGGGAGTATGTAGAGATGATGTTGTTTTCATAGAGGCTAAAAACATATTAGAATACCTTATAAATAAAAACATGTAAAAACAACCTGTTGTGATAGTTGAAGTTGAAGAAGTTTTTAAGAGGAAGAATTGAAGATTTAAGATTAGGAACGAAGATTCGTGAGAACTTGTGTAGGTTTTGTTTATTGAGAAAAGATTTTGTATCAAAGTTTGACCAGGTTCCTATACTGAACTACTACTGCTATTTATATTATTTTGGATCAGGAAAATTATATGACTGGGGTCAGGTAATCGATCCTATCTGAGCCTTAATCAGAGCAACGTGATCTTGGGATAATTAATGTATGATTAATTATATAAATGTGTATAGTCCCAATGAAGTATTAACATCGAAAGTAAATGTGTTTATGAGTTATAATTATGCTTATAATAATCCACTGATGTATCCCATATTATGGTGATATCATCATATGAAATATAATCACTATCATGCATGCTAAACCTGTGTGTTAAATAATAAAGTAATCGGTAGACACCTTTGACTGGAATAGCTGAGGCCTTATATTATTTCCTTCAGACTTATTCTCAAATACAGCAGTAGTCAATACTCATTTACAACAGCATGGATGAACATGATTTTACAGTATGACTTTAAGATCATTCATTTGCCTGGTGTTTCAAATGTGCTTCCTGAGGTGTTGTCACGTTTGTCTGAAGAGACTGAAACATTATTAAATGAACTGAGTGGGGATAGTATGGTTAGATCCATCATGAGAAATAGTGCTGTCACTATGGAACCATTACCAGACATCTTGAGTGGTGAATACTTTACTTCTCTCACAGAAAATGAAAGGAATAAGTTATTAGTTGAAGAACATTTGAAAGGTCATTTTGGTGTAGAAGCTATACTACATGCCTTAAAGAGAAAAGGTATCTATTGGACCAGCTTGAATAGTCAAGCAAATGATCTTATACAATCGTGTATACAGTGTCAATGTCATAATATCACAAGAAAGGGTTATAATCCTTTAAGACCTGTGACTGCAACACTTCCTGGTGATAGTTGGGGAATAGATCTGGCTGGGTCATTTACAACGTCGACTAGAGGAAATGAATACTTGTTAGTGATGATAGACATTTCAAGCAAATTTTATGTATTGCATGCCATACCTGATAAAAGAGCAGCTACAATTATGTTACAAGTACTAGACGTCATTAGTACATGGGGTCCAATGTGAAAGTTGCAGAGTGATTGTGGACGGGAGTTTGTGAAGTCACTGATGACGTATATAAAAAAGAATGCTGGTTTGGAACATGCGTTAATTTTGCAGTACCATCCTAGAGCTAATGGTGCAAGTGAAAGAGCTGTCCAGTCGGCAGTGAACACCATTAAAAAACAAATAGTTGATAATGTTGCTGATTGGGATCAGAAGGTACCATCTGCACAGTTGTTTTTGAATAGCAAGTATAATGCTAGGACTAAGAGTATGCCATTCTTGTTAATTTTTGGAAGGAATCCAAATGACTTTGTCAATTTTAGTAAAGAAAAGAATAGTGCAACTGCTGAACAAATTCCAAAAGAGTTACAAGAAAAAATTAAAAGAATGACTGAGATAGTCTACCCTGCCATGTTTGAACACGTAAAGCATGTCACAGAAAAGCAAAAGGAACGCTTTGATGGAAGTCACAAAATGATAGATCTGGTTCCAGAAACCATGGTAATGATTTTGGTGACAGAAAAATAGAATAAATTAGATCCGAAGTATAAGGGATTCTACACTGTTGTTAGAAAGACTGCTGCCAATACTTACATATTGAAAAATGAAAAGGGATTTTTAGAACTCAGGAATTATCCTCCTTCTTTATTGAGAAATGTTTCTGATAAGGTATTAGAGCAAAAAAATGACTTTTTTGAAGTCGAAGCAATTATTGGTCACATGAAAGATGACAAGAACAATTATTTGTATAGATGCAAATGGTTGGATTATAATGAGTCTCACGATACCTGGGAGCCAGAGGATCATTTTACCAATCCTAAGTTCATAAAGAGATACTGGCAAAGAATTGGTAAAGCACCAGAAGGTATCAAAGACATCAATAAGGCCAATAAGAAATTATTAAAGGATGTGAAAGTTGCATATTCCGCATCTAAAGAAATTCAGGTACTAAAAGAAAGAATTATACAAAGACAGCTTATCAAAAGAAGAAACGCAGTAAGGTCTAAATAAAGAGTTATTTGAGCATCACAGTACTCGTTTAAAATAAAAAAAAGAACAAGCTGATCAGAAGAATTGCATAGAGTACTTGAATGGTATTTAGTTAATACCTGGGAGGGGATAATGTAGTGATCCAGACACTTGGATGTTGGATGTATCACATATAAAAACATATTCATATTGGGATAGTGTAGTAGCTATCATCTTGTCAGTATAAAATATAGGCTATCCTTATGGACAAGACGACGGGTGTTGTAAATGAGTATTGACTACTGCTGTAATTGAGAATAAGTCTGAAGGAAATAATATAAGGCCTCAGCTATTCCAGTCAAAGGTGTCTACCGATTACTTTATTATTTAACACACAGGTTTAGCATGCATGATAGTGATTATATTTCATATGATGATATCACCATAATATGGGATACATCAGTGGACTATTATAAGCATAATTATAACTCATAAACACATTTACTTTCGATGTTAATACTTCATTGGGACTACACACATTTATATAATTAATCATACATTAATTATCCCAAGATCACGTTGCTCTGATTAAGGCTCAGATAGGATCGATTACCTGACCCCAGTCATATAATTTTCCCAATCCAAAACAATATAAATAGCAGTAGTAGTTCAGTGTAGGAACCTGGTCAAACTTTGATACAAAATCTTTCTCAATAAACAAAACCTACACAAGTTCTCACGAATCTTCGTTCCTAATTTCAAATCTTGAATTCTTCCTCTTAAAAACTTCTTCAACTTCAACCACCACAACAACGGGACAAGATTTTGAGGACAATATTTTCATCTCTGACGTCAGAGATGATTAGTGTAACAATCCCATTTTTTTTGGGGGTCAAATCCGAGTATTTTGTAAAAGTTTCAAAAAATATTGATTATAAAAAAAAGTTGACAATTGAGATAAAAATTGATAGAAAGATAAAAGTTGATATAAAGATAAATAGAGATAAAATATATAAAAATAAAACTACAAAAATAAAATATTCAATGTTAATATTATCAATGCCAATTCAAGTACAAAATATATACCTTAGTAATTAATACATGATCGAGTTGTCACTTAGGTTATATCTTTTGACTATGGCTTTGTGGAAAGGATTTATTTTTAGCCAAGTGAAGTTTCTGATAGGTTTACATTTTGCAAGGAGAAAATGGTTGATGTCCAAGATGATGATTATTGGTTCGAATTTTTCTGGTGTGGTAGTTAATGGAACGAAGAGACAGTTGCCTGTTTCTCTTGGAGTGTTCTAATATACAGCTACTGATCTATTGAACGCATCTGCTACAAGTTGTGAATGGTCAATCGTTCTGAACCAATGTTGCGGTGGGAGGGGTGATCTTTTGTCTTTAAGACTGATTATGAGCGGGTTTGTGGATGCAGACATGTTGCTATTCTCCATTCTTTCCTGGTAATATGTATGCTGATATTTTAAGTATACTTCTAGCATATTTCCTTTAAGTTCAGGCCATTTCTCCTGGTCTTGATATATCTCCATTGCTATTGCTCGGTATCCATAGTTGCCATCTGCTTCGAGAGAAAAGACTTTGGTTATATGTTTAGAAGCAATAGTAAGATTTGTTAATATTGTGTGATCGATTGGCAAGCCAAGATTGGTGATATTTTGCAAGGCTTTTTGCTCTTAAGTTGAGAATATTTGTTTTCTAGAAAATAGAGCAAAACTTGAGTGAAATAGATTTATGTAATGTATTATAAATAAATACTCACTTTTTTTGTTCTTTTGCTATTTTAATTTTTTTTGTATCTTTTTCTTTTTCAGCTTCAATGCAGTGCTCTAATGCAATCATTTTACGCTTTGTATTTTTGGGTCAGCTTTTGATGGCTTCCACTATTGTTGGACCATTAAGATCCTCAAGTTTCTGCTTGGTCATTTTTTCTAGTATGTTTTTTACTAAGTTATGTATATCTATTTGTTCTTGTTTGCTGTGTGTACTGTGAAAGCCTTCATGAACAAGCTCAAGATCATGATCAAATTGAGGCGATATGTTGTTATTTTAGCAATGTTTGCTGTTACTGTTTCTGCATTGTTAATTGTCAAGTAGTCTATATACAATTATATATTATATGAGAAAATAATGTTATAACTATTATATGTATTACCTTCTCCTTCTAGATAATCTTTTCTCCAGTGTCTTGAAATTAGAGAGATTGGAATTGTATTAAAAGTAGTGAGTGTATGATAGCATGGTAGGAGATGGTTGTAATATAAGAGTCATTTGCACTCTTTGGTTAATTTTTCAGGTATGATTGATTTTAATAGTTCTAGTTTAATTTTGACCATTGCAAAGTGGCTAATTTTTTGACAAATGTCATTTAGTTTTGTTCTGTTGACTTTGTCAAACACTGTGGTATACACACCACAATTGAGTGAAGAACAGACCCCACAACCAAACACTGGTTCCTTCTTGCTAATGAACCTGGCAAGTTAACAATCTCCAGAACTGTTACACACCAGGCACACATACACTACACACTCATACAGTGTAAACCAACCATTACACAACAGGGATTTGAATTACAGGGATTTGAATAGTAACAGATATAAACAATATTATTTTGTCTCTTTAATAAATAACACTCTCACAGTATCTACTTTTCCCATTATTGAGATACTAACCCATAAACAATCCCGAATATCTCAAACACAACTTCTGTGCTCTCTTCAAGGCACTCTGTCATTAATCTGCATTTACAATCATCAACCTATTTAATATACAAATATATTATAGCAAATAATTATAATTAGAAAACTTATTCAACTAACACATAAAATAAAATAAGATAATGCAAACTTACCAGTTTCTGATACCACTTTTTTACTTTTAGTGTCACTGTCATCAATTTACCAGAAGAGGTACCAAGAGAATGCTTGAGGGAAGCATGTGCACTTTCTGCGCAGTTGGAGGTACGATTTCCAAAGTGAGGGTATTTATAAACATACATGTTTATCCAGTTCTTCTTGTCTTTTATTTTTCTAGTAAATTATATAAAAATTACCAATTTTTTATAATTAATAAGCCATTTTTATCAAGTTCAATGGCTCTATATGTATCTTTCAAGAAATTTACTGGCAGTTTTCTCCTGATCCTTGCAATTCTCCTTTGCAAACTCGAGGTACCTATCTGCCTCTTTCTTTACTTCTTCGGGCATCTCGCACTTCAAAGCAATCTTGCCAATAAACTCTGCCAAAGTCTCCAAAAGCTCTCTCTTCTCACTGCTCTCTTCTCCCTTCATCATTGGTAGCAAGTCTTTTTTGAAATTATCTTTTATATGCTTATAGCATAAGACTTGCTTCGACTCAGAGAAAACACAGGTAATAGCATTTTGCAATGTTTTCTCATTGTCAGTTATAAACACATTAGAAAGAAGAGGTGTGTATGTGTTTGTTTGTGTTTATGTTGTTGTTGCTGTATTTCTGTTACTATTGCCTCTGTTATTGTCTTTGACATCTGGCCAAACTGCATCACAGAGACAACGAAGTACCCAGAGATAATTCTCAACCATCTCGTACTCTACCCAAGCACCAGCAATAGGGAATGTCTTCAATGTTCTACAAGATTTACCAGTTACATTACTGGTATCAGCAATATTGACAAATGTCATTCTATGGCTATTTGTCTTATATGTAGCATGGATGATTATCATCTCAGGCATTCTTTCCGCTTCCTCAATTACATTCTTGTAAACAAAGAAAACCATGTTGATTCTTTTGTCATCTGTATTATCAACAGTATAGCGGATATAGAAGTCCAGATCTTGTAAAGTGGTAATAAAACCAAATATCTCCTTTCCTTCGTAATCTTTTCCAAAGTGCTGCTTGATGTTCTCAATGTCATGACATACTACATTGGTGTATCCACATATCTTCAAACTGTTGAAGATAGTTGATACATCATTGTTATTCTCCAGATGTCTTGTTACAAGGGCCATGGCCTCAGGCGAAAGTTTTTAGTGCATAGCATATGCCCTATGATCTTCCTCAATTGGATGGTTATGTTGTGCCTTGCACAAGTGCACAGCAATTCTTCCGTCTTTTTTCTTAGAGGCATACACGAAGCATTGGCAGTCATGCTTTTGTGTATTCTTGACACGTTTTCTTTCTCATCCAGGAAGGGGGCTCTCTTTGCTGGCAGAGGTTTTTAAAGCAATCTTTACAGCCTTATAAGTGTCTCTATATTTGTCTGCATGCTTACAGATCATCTTTATGCGAGTTTCTGATGAAAACATGGTGGAAAATGCAATATTATGCGTGGCACCATATGCCTTGACAGCTTCACAAACAGCTACAGTTGAAGAAAATTGTCTTCCAATAAGAAAGATAGAATTAAACTCGGTTAAAGCAGTATCGTACTTCTTGGAAGAAGTCTCACTGACAATGACAAAGTCATTGGTGCTGTTGGTGTTATTGATGTTACTCATGTTAAATGTCAAAAAGATTATGCTGATGTTGTAGTAAAAAAGGGCAGTGATTTTATTGGCAATCCAAAGAACCATTTATCTAGTTGCTCCCCCCAAAAAAAAGGGATTGTTACACTAATCATCTCTGATGTCAGAGATGAATATCTTTTCCTCGAAATATTGTCCTGTTGTCTTGTCCATAAGGATAGCCAAAATATATATAAATAATTAAGTAATCAGACCAATAATTACTACAGTTAGTACTGTAGATAATATCTTAAAGATTGTTAAGATAATTATATCATACTGCTGGGTAAACTGTGTCAGATCGATATGGAGCTAATTTAGTAGGAAGTTCTAAAGCTCTAGTATAAAAGAGAAAAGAATAGCTAAGAGCTAAAGAAGTACGATTTATGACTTGATATCGTAATTGTAACACTGACACTAGTTAAGCAGTAAATACACTCTAATAATCAAATATAGTAAAGGAAGAAAGCCTTAAGAAACTAAGACGTAATGACAAGAGCAGATTGTGTTTTCTTATAAAAAGAAACACTTTTTATTTATAAATAAAGACAACTTATATACAGTCTCAAAGTATTTCTATACATCTCTATTATCAAATTTATATTCTTTCTATTATTTTGTATCTGAAATATCACATCACATGTCATGGTAATAATAAGGAGTTATCACAGAGTTTTTAGTGTGGTTACAGACTCAGACAACGAGCTAACCAGTGACTTGTTTAAAATAAAAAATCATTAGAACACTAAATTTTGTAGGTAATTTTCACTAAAAAAATATGCTGCTCATTACAAAAAAATGATCAAAACAAAATATTTCTTTACATACAAGAGATTCTTTCAAATTCTTATAAGTATATATATACACCTGGCTTAGGGTGAAATTGACTTACTTCCAACTCCGCTAAAATCAAAGAAGTACACCTCTGTTTTTCAAGGTTAAATAAGTTCTCAAAGACATGATCTTTAAAGACAAAAAATGAATGGAAGATTTTGTAATATGTGTTGCTTATTTATATTAAAAATTGATGGAGGTTTAATAGTTAATAGCTCCTCCATGCTTCTTCCTAACTAATATCATACGATCTTTAATGCTCAGACAAAACTTCACACAAGTACTTGCTGTGATTTCTGCCCACTCCTCCAACAAAGCAACGTCCAGTTCTTTTAGCGTGGTAGGCTGGGGTCTTTTATCTCTAACCTTGTTATCAAGGTAGCTCCACATATTCTCAATTGGATTGAGATCTGGACTTTTTGCAGGCCATGGTAAGATAGCCACATCGTTTCTTTTTTTCCACTGTTCCGCCAACTTGCTCTTATGTGGTTTGGCATTGTCTTCTTGGAGAAGGTAGGTGGTGGTGTCCTTGTCAGGAAGGGCAGCAAGAAATGGGAGATAGTTGTCCCTCAGTGTCTGGACATACATTTCTTTTGTCATGTAGTCATCTAATATAACTAGTGGGCCAACACCTCCTGCCCAAATACATCCCCAAACTGATACTGAACCACCCAACCCTTGCACTGCTGGTACCAGACAGTCATTGTCATACTTCTCATGTGGTTGGCGCCAAACATATTGCTGTCCACCTTTCTGAAAAAGGGTGAATCTGGACTCATCACTTCAGATTACTGATGTCCATTCATCATTCCAATTTTTTTGCTCCCTAACCCATTGCAAGCGTGCCTTCTTATGTGCTTCATCTAGGTAAGGCTTGGCTACAGCAACACAAGAGCGAAGGTCCATATCGTGCAGATATTTGCATACTGTTGCTTGACTGATTGAGATGTCATGCATCTCTTTAACACTGTGCATGATGGTAGCTAATGTGTCGCGTCTATTTTTTTTGCGGTGAACTTCAAATAACGAATTGCCCATGGTGATAGCTTCTTGGAGGCCCTAGGATGCTCCTTCTCAGTGCACATCTTCTTTGTCTCGTATTTTTTAATTATACAATAAACAGTTGATTGGGGTATGCCTTCTGCATGTGAAATCTCATAGGAGCTACGTCCTTCTTTATATCTTCCAATAATCATTCCTTTTTCGAAATCTGTTGTCTTATAATATGAGTTGGTAGTTTTAGCTTTATTGTTCTTTGGCATTGTGATTTGTTTTATTAGAGAGATTACAGAATTAAAATAAAAAGAAAATAGAGGATGGTCTTCTTGCATAGAAAGAAGTCATGGCGGAGTTGGAAGTAAGTCAATTTCACCCTAAGCCAGGTGTATATATATATGAACGTTAGTAGAAGCTTTAAAGATATCTATAGTTCTTTTATATTTATCAAAAAGCTGATATTGAATTGGATAAAGTATTATTCTTTAAGTATATGTTTAATTACATATAGCTGTTTGATCTAATAAAGTAGAATATAGCTAGGATGGTACCAGAAAATAATGGGAAGCTATTAAATTACTTAATAGCAGCATTAACTGAATATCATAAAAAGAAACAAGATATATATATTTTTTTATTTTTACAATCATTAAAAGATTTGGCTTGAATTTTTAGACAAAAAGTCCAGAGTTCTTTATCTTCTTCTTCTGTTTTCTTCTGCAAGTTCGATTGCTGTTTCTTCACTTACAGAATTGTCAACCATATATTCCTTAATACAATGAACAATTCTTTTACATTTATTGAAGAACTGTCAATCATTGTTTCTCCAAGCAATGTCATACCTCGTCTCCATCTCGTGTACAGAAACACAGCCAGAGAGTTCCACATGTCATTCTCTCCACAAGTCAGGCACCGTCTGCACACCTCTGCTCATTATATACTGAACAGGTATGTCTGGCAGCTGGGAAATTGGTCCAGAGTTGTTGGCCGGGACTGGAAATGCTTGGACCTCTGTTGATCTAGCTCCATCTCTTTCCCCTCCATCTTCTTGAAGGGACCAAAGAGGAATTCTCCCAGATACCAAGTCATCAATCTTCTGGTGAAGAGCACCAAACTCCTGCAGAACTTCTCTGCGAAACTCACTGTCTGCATTCTGCATGTCAGCCAACTTTCTGGCCATCAGAGGAAGTGCTCTCTGCAAAAAGATGTCAGTAGGCTCGACATCTGTTTCCACAAAAGTCTTGACTGATCTAAAACATTGACATGTAAATATATTAGAGCTATTTTTTTCACTGTATTATATATTAGTTTTTTTTTACCTCTTGAACTCAATGTATTTGGGATCATGGAATACACCATGCTGCCACAATAGGTGCCCTGGAGTTTTGCTCATCATTAACACAGAATTCTGTAGAAAAGTGATTCTTAATTGCTTCAGAAGCTCCAGAAACCCATGTGCAGCTGCGGTTTGCTGGCATGCTCCTGACAAAATCCTGTTATACCAAAAGTCTACCATTGGGAAAACCTTGCACTGGAGCGACTTGGCTGGTTTTACTTGGGCTCTTGGCAAGTAGAACTGCCCCTCAGCTGACAGAAATCCAGCTATAATACGCATCACACCTCTTGGAAGATTGGTGAGATATGCACCATTCATTGTGCTGCTATTCCAGTGAACCTGCCTTCTGATATCCGACTTGTTGGCATCACTCATGTCAGCCATTCTTGCTGATGATCCATGGGCAGCATGGGTCTTTGCTTTGAAAATGATTCCACAGGCCTTGAATGCCCTGTTGATTACTTTGAGATGGGTGGAGTAAGGCATTTCCCTGGTTGGTTCCTGCCCAGATCATAGTAACTTATGGTTGAACCATTCCTTGGATGTTTCAAAAGATGGAAACTGCTCACCATCAATATGTCATCTCCAGAAGAAATAGCATCCAAGTGCCATGAATAGACAAATCTCAACCTTGGAATTTCTCAAGCAGGCTGCAAGCTCAATTTGTCTGAACTAGTTCGTCTTTCTCTGCTTCAAGACCAAGACAAAGGCAGAGCATTCAGAAGGTCCTTCATGATCCAACATGACTGTCTGAAGGTCGGCAAATTTGGCTTTTCTTTCAGATTTGCCACAGAGCATACAAAAATGCAACAGGAGAAAAGACACCACATTTCTCAAGTCACCTCTGCTTGATCTTGAGAAATAATAGCTAACAATGCTAGAAATCTCGTTCTCTGTGGTGTACCCATCCACCAGAGTTCCAAGGCCACGGTCCTGGTGTTCAGCACAATGGGTACACTCATCATTGAACTTCATATTGTCCAACAGCTGGATACAAGCCTTGCAAGGGTGAGGGTGGTTGTTCACACTGAATTTAACTTGCTTCTGGTACATATCCACAATAGCAGCAAGATAGGCATTGCAGTTCTATACTTGATGGTTTTTCTAGTGTCTCTTCTGTGGGTTTGGTTGACAACCTAACAGAAGATAAGATAATTAATTCAATTACGTACAGAATATATCTCCAAACAACAGCAAAAAACTTACACAGTCTTTAAGAAACAAATGGAGCTTATCTCCATATACAGTGTAGCAATTTTCAAGGGGAATGCTCGAGAAAGCTTCATCACATCAATCTTTATACTTTTTTTGCTTAGAAGCATAGCTTCTCTTTGTGTTCTCTGGTCTGTTAACTTCAGCTTCGCAAAAAGTAGACACCTGGGCCTCCATTATTCTAACATTCACATCAGAGATTGCGGCAGAATAGCTAGGAGCATTTGGGTTCATTTTGAGTAGATATTAAAAGATCTGGGAAGATGAAAAGATAGCACTTTTACATGCTACTTATATTAAAGTCTTACCAGAAAATTCATTGCAATTTATTATGCTTAGTAAGAGATGACTAAGAGAAATTCCGACATTAAGATATTGCTATACATATATATGAGAAACAAGACAAGTACTTAATAAAGGAAATCTGCTTCTTCATCAATATGTTAAAGAACATATATAAAAATATAATGATAATTTTTTAGATGTGTGTAAAAAAACTGAATTTTTAATAAAGTTTTATTAGGCTGCATATAACATGGAAAAAAAAAAAATCGTGGTGACCTTTATTGAAAAGAAATAATTATTTCAGGTGGGAACCTAAGATATTGGCCATTATTCCAGCATCAGTCATTAAAAATGAACATCCAGAGAAATCTTTAGAAATCCTCACCCCTTGATAATAATAAATAATCAATTATGTATATTAGATAATATCATAAAGGCAGATCTATTTTACTGGAATAGCTGAAGATATTATTTTATCCTTCAGTCTTACTCTCAGATTCAGCAGTAATCAATACTCATTTATAACAGCTGCTTTACCCTTGACCAAAACAAATTTGTTTCAGAAAATTAGGAGAAGAATAAAAACAAAAATAATGAGAAGTCAAATTGTTATAATAAGAAATAAAAATAATATAAATAAAATATAAATTAAAATATAAAATTAGAATTAGGAGTTTGAAACTTTGTGACTGATTTAAAAGGTTGAAATCGATTGAAAAAGAGACTAGCACTGCAGCTGATAAAAGTCACAACTCACTTAATCATCTAATCTGACATGTGATGTGTTAGGTTTGTTGTAGATTATAATGGATCACTTGGCAAAAAAAATATAATGATAATAGAATAGAACAGAATATGGATACAGTAAAAGATGGTAAGCAGCAATAGTTGACAGGTAAGAAAAGAGAGAACAACCAATAGAATCGTTGTTAAAAGCGAGAGAGAGGGAAAGATGTATGAAAAGAGAATGACAAAACAGAAAAGTAATAATTGACGAGGAGACCAAAACCAACAAACAATCTTTCTAAAACCAAGGAACTAATATGTTATGTTGCAAGATGATATAAATTACAAAGAGAAGAAAACAAGAAAAAAGATACTGAAACTGGATCAAAGGATAATGGATAATATTTTATTGAATAAAATTGCTTCTCTTTTATAAACAAAGAGATTTACAGTTGATAATAGAAGTTTAGAAAAATAAAGATAGTAAAAATAGAATGATGAATAATTGATAAGGCAAGAATAAAATATATGAATAAAAATATAGTAAAAATATAACAATAAAAGTACTGATATTGGCAAGATGAATTGTGTGCATTGTAGAAAAGAAATGTTACTAGCATGGATGACCATAATTTTGAATGAGTACAATGTGGACAAATATGGTAATAAGGGAAAAGGAAAAATTATTGTGTGTTGAAGAAACAGGGAATGGAAATGAGATTTTTCCTGTGCATAGAAAAATTATCCTCTTACCACCAAGGGCACAGCACCACATCAACAAACAATTGACGTCAGCCCCTCAAAACTGAGACGACATGTCACAACAAACCACTGGACAAACCCACCTAGCAGACTGACCTTCTGGTACCGGACACCATGACATGGCCAAAAGCTGGAGTTGCTCACAACACACATGACATATGATGCATGTGTTGCTTATATTTGTGATAAATGTTGACAGGTAATATATTATCACTGCTTTTTGAGGTTTGTATGAGTTCATAGATGTGAAATAAACTCTCTTTTCCACAAGAGAGAAAAAGACAAACTCAAAAGAAAATGTAGAATTAAAGATAATAAAAGCAATAAGAGAAAAATAAGAGAAAAGCAGTACTATTGATCCATCTCGATAGACTTGACTCAATATACTTGGATAATCAAATAAGTAAAATATCAACAGCATTAAATATTAAGAGAACTTGTTTTCAGAAAAAAGACAAACAAAAAGCAATGTTAATTAAATGCAAGTATTGCGGTATTTATAGTTTGCAATTGACTTGTTGAATAATTAAATAAATAAAATTATTATAAAAAAATAGTAAAAGTTGTATAATTGATGATCTATTAAATGTGATTTGTTGTTTACTATCATTAAGTACAAATAAAATAAAATAATTATTAAGTCATAATCATGAAGATGATTATGCCTGTAAGAAAATATAATAATATTAATTCTAGGTTGATTTGTTCAGTTAAATATAGTGAGAAAATAACATATAATATGTGGTTGCGTGAAGTTATCATTAACAAGATGATGCTTTTTTATTATACTTATTGGTGTTTTGCTTTCGAATAGAAAAATTGCTTTCTATTCAGCCTTGGCCACTGTCAGAAAATAAAAAACAAATAGAATAGAATTTTTCTACAATCACAAAGAATTCTGCAACATTGCCGCACTGCCGGACAACCAAAATTTTGTTAAGTGCTGACCATTTTTACAACACTCTGTGTCAACAACTGTCACGTGTGGTATGTAACTGTGAGTAGAAGATGTACAAGAAAAGATAATTGTATATAAAAAGAGAAATTGAAAAGAGAAATTGAGGGTTTGAGTTTGATATCGGATAAATTAAGATGATAAAATAGCCTCTTTGTTACTAAATAGATCAGTTAAAGAAATTAAAAGGGAAACTAACACTAAGATAAGAATATAAATAATTTGAATGATCAGAGAAATAGTTAAACTAAAAGAAGTGAAGTAAATAATACTAATTCTAAAGAGTTAACTATAAGAAAAAAATATTTAATAGAGTAAAAGATTTAGCTAAATGGAAATTAACTATGGTAAATTTACTAAGAGATAAATAAAAGAGGAATGAGACAAAATAATAAAATAAAAGAGGATGGTCAATCTTTCACAAAGACTTGACAGAAAAATAAATAAAATGTGCTATAAATAAGTATTGACTACTGCTGTAATTGAGAATAAGTCTGAAGGAAATAATATAAGACCTCAGCTATTGCAGTCAAAGGTGTCTACCAATTATTTTATTATTTAACACACAGGTTTAGCATGCATGATAGTGATTATATTTCATATAATGATATCACCATAATATGGGATACATTAGTGAATTATTATAAGCATAATTATAACTTATAAACACATTTACTTTCAATGTTAATACTTCATTGGGACTACACACATTTATATAATTAATCATATATTAATTATCCCAAGATCACATTGCTCTGATTAAGGCTCAGATAGAATTGATTATCGGACCCCAGTCATATAATTTTCCCAATCCAAAATAATATAAATAGCAGTAGTAGTTCAGTGTAGAAATCTGATTAAATTTTGATACAAAATCTTTCTCAATAAACAAACTCTACACAAGTTTTCACAAATCTTTGTTCCTCATTTCAAATCTTGAATTCTTTCTCTTATAACTTCTTAAAAAACTTTAACCACCACAACAAAATGGAAGAAATTTCACAAGAGAGATCAGAGATAATAGGTAGCATCTTAAAGAAAACTTATATCAGAAAAATTTGACAGTTGTTTATTGATTAATTTTAGAAAGATATTTATACGACTTTATAGATAAAATATATGGCAAAAATAGGCTAGATAAAACTTGATGAGATAATTGTAAATAAAAATATAAAGAAAAATAACTATATAAATATTTTGTCATGAAAGAAGAAATAGATGAAGTTATAATATATAACTATAAGAAAAAAAATATCAGAAAGAAGTATGTTATAAATAAAGGGAAAAATTATTCAGTTAACAATTTTGGTAAAGTAGTATTTGAGAGGAAGCGTCACATTTAGTGTGCAGGAATAAAATAAAAAGAAAAGGGAGAAAACAATTTCGGGAAAAATAAAGGAGAAAGATTTTAATTTTTAGAAAATCAGTTTTTAGAAAAAGGCGATTTTTTGAAAATAGAAGAAAGAAATTAAAATTAAAATTAAAACTTTGAAGAAAAATTAAAAGGGGTTTTTAAAAGAAAGTCTGAACTTGGTAAAATTTCGTTTTTGGATTGAGGCTACAACTGTTATTACTTTATGTGTCTCCAATGACACATGTGGTACTTTGTTGTGTGTATAGTGTATACAAAAAAGGCAAGGTATAGGTAATAATAAAAATTGAATTCCATAATGAGGTAGGGTTATTTGAATTTGGGAAACAAATGTAATAAAATGTAAATTAAATAAGAAAAACTACTTCTAGAAGAGAAAAATAGAAGGAATTTCAGAAGGGAAAAAATATCTAGAACTAGTAAAAGGAAATAAATAATGCTAATGTAAAATAAACTAAGTTAAGGGAAGTATTCAGAGAATAAAAGATTAAAAATTAACTAAGAGAATTTCTAAGGTAATTTTAGAATAAAAAATAAAGAGAAAATTTAACAAAAGGAAAATTATAAAATTTGAGAAGAAGAAAAATAATAGAAAAATAATAGAAAATAGTCAATCTTCTACAAAGACTTGACTAAAAAAACAGTAAACGGAAGAAAAATTTACAAGAGAGATCAGGGAAAATAGATAGCATCTTTAGAGAAAACTTTTATATTAGAAAAATTTGACAATTGTTTATTGATTGATTTTGAAGAGTTATTTATACTATTTCTTGGATAAAATTTATAGCAAAAATAGGTTGCACTAATGTCTAGGAGATAATTGTAATAAAAAGATAGATAAAATAATTGTAATTGGGATTCATCATAAAAGAAAAATAAATGAAGTTATAATACATAACTACAGAGAATGGAAAAGATCAGGAAGGAGTATGTTATAAAGAAATAAAAAAACTACAGTTAATAATTTTGGTAAAGTAGTGTTGAGAGGAAAACGTCACATTTAGTGTGTAAGAAAAGTAAGAAAAATAAAAAAGGGAGAAACTAATTTCGGGAAAGAATAAAGGGAAGGGAAATTTGTCTTCAGAAAATTGGAAAAGAATAAAAATGAAAATAACGAGAAGTCAAACATTTAGAATAAGAAATAAAATTAATATAAATAAAATTAAAATTAAACTTAAAATATAAAATTATAATTGGGGGTTTGAGACTGTGTGACTGATTAAAAAGATTGAAATCGATTGAAAAAGGGACTTGTATTGCGGCCAATACAATTAACATTGCACCGCCATCTCCCACATTGGAGAGATGGCCGAGTTGGTCTAAGGCGTCACGTTAAGGCCGTGATCTCTTCGGAGGCGTGGGTTCGAATCCCACTCTCTTCACGTTTTTCATTCACATGAAATATTTTGGCATTATTTTTGTTGTTGTTTTCGATCTGAGTTGTTCTTCCAATGCTGTCAGAGTTGACATTGGTGAACAAAATTGGTAGTTATAAGCAGCCAGTAAGAGTTGACTTTTTAGGATAAAAGATCTTGAATTTGCTGATTGGTCTTTCATATATGTTTTAGATGTTTAAGATGGTGAATATACTTGTAGAAGATATTACTGGACAACAGGCATCTAAGACATATTATCATAGCTATTCTTTTAGCCAGAAATCAATTATCATTTTGTATAAATAGTCAAGAAATATATTTAATAAAAAGCATCTTTATTCTTATCTAAAAACTATTTATAAACTTGACAATCCCCAGTGGTATTGATTCTGCAACTTAGTTACAAGTGCCAGAAAAGAAATACCAGATTGAGACTTGACAATTGGTAGCTGAATGAACAGTTCCTCTGCCCAAACTAGTGTCCAATTTACTAATGCTCAGAAAAAGAAATTTGAAATCGAAGAACGAGTTCAGGCCCTGCTTCTCACTGAACTTGCCAGTTCTTTTGCTGCTTCCCATACTGTACCTTCACTTCCTGAAGAGCAGTGTCTTCGTTCCTCTCCATCTCGCATAGCTTTTTGGGACACCCAAGCTCAAAACATAGTTGCTAAACTATCTGGTGTACCTGTCTCTACACCTCCTGCTCCCGACTCCCCAGTCCACATACCTGTTCCCAGCTCTCTGCCCATGAGTACTCCTCCTGTCCCAGCCGACCCTGTTGCTCCTGCTGCCATGACCATGCCCAAACTGATTGTTGCTTTTACTGCAGCTCTCTGCTGTTCGCAACTGCCTGTTGCTCCTGCTGCCCCGACTCCTGCCCCCACTCAGGTGTCTCTGCCTTCCTCTGTCCAGATTGAATGCCCGGATTTTTATCATGGTGTCCGCTCTGCCAATGAGATCGATGGTTGGGTTCATTCAGTGGAACGTTTTGCTGAACTGCATCACATGGACTATGACAGCTGGACGTCATATGCAATAACTTTGCTCTGTGACCATGCTGACGTCTGGTGGCATTGCCTGGAAGATAATGGTACCAGAACCTCGGACTGGCGCACTTTTACTCGTTTGCTCAATGACAATTTCCGCCCTGTCCACTCTATTCAAAATGCACAAGATCGCATTTGCTCCCTGCACCAGACTGGTTCTGTCAAGTCGTATATCAACATTTTTCAAGATCTTCGTATGGATATTCCGTCCATGACTGAGGACGAGGCTCTGGACAGATTTGTTAGTGGTTTGCGTCCTGAAACCTGCAGCCAAGTCCACTTCTGTGAACCCTTGGACCTTGCCGAAGCTGCCCGCACTGCCCTCGCTTTTGAGAATGGCCACCACCCTGCCCCCACTTCTTGTCCAGAGGTTGTTTCACACTATGTTCGCAATGATGGCCCCACCCCTATGGACCTTGATGCTATGGAGGGGAGGGGGTCCATGCAGACCAACTACTGGGGACGCTCAGGCCAGTGCAATAACCGAAGCTCTGCCAACCGCTCTGACATAAGACCACACCAACAAGGAGGTAGAGACAACTGTGAGAGTTTCTGGTGTGATCAGACTGGACACCTCCACTGTTTCTGTCCAGAACGTATTGCCGCTATCTGCCGACTGGATGAAGGACATGCCCAGGGAAGGAACTGCCAGAACCTTGGAGTAAACATAGTCAAAGTGAGGGGAAACCAGACACAAGATAATAAAGCTTTCTCTTACCAGTACTTTGATGTCTCCTGTGGTATTTCAGGTACGAAACAATAGAAAAATAAAATATTTGATAATAGAGACATATAGAAATACTTTGAGACTGTATATCAGTTGTCTTTATTCATAAATAAAAAGTGTCCCTTTTTATAAGAAAACACAATCTGCTCTTGTCATTACGTCTTAGTTTCTTAAGGCTTTCTTCCTTTACTATATTTGGTTATTAGAGTGTATTTACTGCTTAACTAGTGTTGGTGTTACAATTATGACATCAAGTCATAAATCGTACTTCTTTAGCTCTTAGCTATTCTTTTCTCTTTTATACTAGAGCTTTAGGACTTCCTACTAAATTAGCTCCATATTGATCTGACACAGTTTACCTGGCAGTATGATATAATTATCTTAACAATCTTTAAGATATTATCTACAGTACTAACTGTAATAATTATTGGGCTAATTACTTAATCGTTTATATATATTTTATACTGACAAGATGATAGCTACTATGCTATCCCAATATGAATATGTTTTTATATGTGATAAATCCAACATCCAAGTGTCTGAATCACCACAGGAGAGAACTTCTTGGACTCATAAGCCAGAGGATGCCAGAGACCGTCTTCACCTTCTTGTAATAGTACCGCACTGATACCAAAGTCAGAGGCATCAGTTTCAATCCTGTAGGGCTTATGAACATCAGGTACTTGAAGCACTGGTGGTGACACGAGTTTGTTCTTGATAGTATCAAAGCTTTCTTGGCATTTTTCTGTCCAAACTATTGGCCTTCTCTTGGCACCTGTGCCACATGTAAGATCAGTTAGGGGCGAGGCTAAGCTGGCATAGCCCAGGATAAAACGTCTGTAGTGTTGTGCAAGTCCACAGAACTGGCGTACTTCCTGGACATTTGTGGGGACCGGCCATTCCTTGACAGCTTTGATCTTTCCTGGTGCTGATAAGATGCCTTGTGCAGATATTTGGAAACTGACAAAAATGAGTTCACGTTTATTGAATTCACATTTCTTTAAGTTGGCAACGAGTTTCTCTTCTTGTAGCCATTTGAGGACATGGTGGACATGGTGGTGGTGTTCTTCTTCTGTCTTGCTAAATATCAGAATGTCGTCGAGATATACTAATGCAAAGTCATCTAAACATTCGCCAAGGACACGGTTTATAAGACTCTGGAAAGTAGGTGGTGCATTGGTGAGGCCAAATGGAAGGACAAGGAACTCATACTGGCCATACCAAGTGTTGAATGCTGTCTTTGGTACGTCACTTGGTTGTATCTTCACTTGATGATAACCACTTTTTAAGTCTAAGCTGGTAAAATGGGCAGATCCACAGAGACATTCCAAACATTTGTCGATCCTTGGTAGTGGGTGATTATTTCGAACAGTGACCTTGTTAAGGGCGTGGTAATCGATGCACATGCATATGGCACCATCCTTCTTCTTCACGAACAGAACAGGAGCTCCCCAAGGTGACGCACTAGGTCTTATCAACCCAAGGTCCAGAAGTTCTTTGAGCTGATGCTTGAGTTCGTCCAGCTTCAGGGGACTCATCTTAAAGGGAAATCGGCTGATTAGTATAGCGTCTCCGGTATTGATAATGTGCTGCACATTGTGGTTGGGTGGAACACCTGGTAATTCATCTTAGAACACATCTGGGAATTCTTTGGCCAGCGAGTTTCATTTTGGGTCAGTGGTAATTATCTCAGCATTATCTTTAATGTACAGTAAGTATGAGTCTGCAGCATCTTTCTTCGTCAGTTTCTTTGCTTGTTTGTGTGATATGATGTAATTTAGGTGGTGTGGCACTGTTTCTTTCTCATGTGGTGTAAGTATGTATGACTTGTTGTTTTTCTCTAGTTTCCAGCTGTCATTGTTCCAATTGGGGACTGGCTGGGCTTGCTGAAGCCAGGTGCGGCCCAGAATCATATCAAACTTCATGGGGAATACATATGCTTCGATTGTGTCTGTATAACCGCTTAGTGAGATTGGCATGTTGACTTTCTTGGTAATTTCTGTGTGGTGGCCACCAGCTGTTTTGACTTGCCAGTCTCTGACTTGGAATACTTGGCTTGCATGTTTGGCAATCTTGGGTGTAACATAGTTGGCGCTTGCACCACTGTCAATTAGGAATAAACAGTTTTTTTCTTGAACCATTACTTCATATAGGGGGAGGTCTGTACTGATTGAGGAATTAAGTTGTTTCAAGTGCATTAAATCTTCTTGGACAGTTGTGGAGATGTGGTGATCCAGACACTCGGGTGTTGGATTTATCACATATAAGAACATATTCATATTGGGATAGTGTAGTAGCTATCATCTTGTCAGTATAAAATATATATAAACGATTAAGTAATTAGCCCAATAATTATTACAGTTAGTACTGTAGATAATATCTTAAATATTGTTAAGATAATTATATCATACTGCTGGGTAAACTGTGTCAGATCAATATGGAGCTAATTTAGTAGGAAGTCCTAAAGCTCTAGTATAAAAGAGAAAAGAATAGCTAAGAGCTAAAGAAGTACGATTTATGACTTGATGTCATAATTGTAACACCGACACTAGTTAAGCAGTAAATACACTCTAATAACCAAATATAGTAAAGAAAGAAAGCTTTAAGAAATTAAGACTTAATGACAAGAGCAGATTGTGTTTTCTTATAAAAAAAGACATCTTTTATTTACAAATAAAAGACAACTTATATATATTCTCAAAGTATTTCTTTATCTTTCTATTCTCAAATTTATTGTGTTCTATTGTTTTATATCTGAAATAGTACAGCATACCTTCCAATCTCACAAGAAAATTAGGATGCAAAGACAAACAGAACGCCCAAGAATTGCTTAGCTGTGTTGATGCTCTCTGAATTGAGCAATGTGAGATTTCTTCAAGTGGGGCAGAGTCTCTTATAATAACTGTTGAGTTCTTAACACAGATTATAGTAACTATCAACATGATATACAATCATACTGTTAAAGCTAACACTGAAATTTATTTTATGGTTGATACTTATAATCAAGTTGTTGTCCAGCAAGCTCTTGTTGCATCTTCTATATCTCAGATAGTGTCTGCCACCAATGTATCTATAAATAGACATACTATAAACACAATGTGTACTCTGCAACTTATATTTTCTTGAGTTTTTCTTCTTTTATGATAGTTCTAGTACACATTAGAATGTGTGTTAAAGAATTAGAATATACTATACTAGTATCGATATATATAAAATATTATTAAAAAGTTATATAGAAAAAACTTGAAATTATCAGTGAGCCAGTTTTTTAGATATCACTATAGAAAAAAAGGAGATGCTGCTAAGGATTCACTGAGGGTCTGCCTAGGAGGCTGCCTAGAAGAGTGAAGTTGACTTACCTACTTTTTCATCTCCTGTATGTTATAGATTATTATATGACTCTGCTCTTTAATAAATAATCACCAGATAAATTTCTTGTATAGAAATATAGATGTATCTTACATGCTCATATATAGACACAAGTATCTGCAATAAATTCTGGCCAAAATAAATCACGGATTGCAAAATACATTTTTCAAATTATTATAAATAATTCAAAAAAATTATGTTTCAAATAAATTAGTTTTTATTTTTTGTTTCAAAGTAGAAAAAATACTAAGCTATAGCTATATCATATAATTTATGAATAGAAATATATAGTAAATTAAATCTAATTATTTTAATCTAAAGGTAGGGTCATAGATCCCACATCACTCATGATTCTTGAAGATAAAAGCATCTAATACCACCAGAGAAATTTCTTGTGTAATCATATTTCCAAAAGGGTGTCAGAGTATTGGGGGCTATGTATAACCATATATGGACATACAAGTTTCTGTGATAAATTCTGGTCAAAAGAAATCACAAATTTAAAAATGCGTTTTCGCAAATATAAAAAATGTTTCAATAATAGCTCAAAATAAATTTTGTTACAAATAATTTTTGGGTTCAAAAAAATAGGTTTTTATTTTTGGTTTATTTTGGATTGCAAAAAAATAAAAAAATAAAAAAATAAAAAAATACTAGGCTGGGCCACATAGTCCGCAGCAGTAGCGTACTAGCAAACCAATACTACTGGTTAAAACAGTAGTATGACTGCTAGCTCCAATGTCTGTGGATTACGTGGTCGATATATAGTAAGCTAATATATCTAGCTATTCCAATAGAAAACCAGTGTCATAGATGACATGAAAACCAAAGAGCTTGAAGTATTGAGTGTCAAGAAACTTGAAGATATGTGTGCCAAGAGACTCTAAGAGAATAAAAGCGATTAGTAACCATATTTAAAATACTCTTGTCTAAAAATGTTTATCTTTGAGATTCTGCCAAGTCATTCATAATTATAAAGAGCTGAATACCTACGAGTAAGAATAGGAAACAGTTAGTATTTTATTGCTTTATAAGCAGAGTTTATAGTTATTACCTCTTTACTTATTTTGCCAGATGATGAAAAAACTAATGTATAAACCGGATTGTTATGATTAATAAACATATTGACATATAAAACTAATTTAATAGCACAAATACCTTTGAAGTAGAAGTATGTAGAAATGATGTTGTTTTCATAGAGGCTCAAAACATATTAGAATATCTTATAAATAAAAACATGTAAAAACAACCAACCTTTTGGGGCAAAGTAGAGTGAAAAAAGAAGACGTAAACACGCAAGCTTTTCTTAGTCAAAACTAGTAGAAAGAATTCTGATTGGTGCGCTGACATTAAACATCAGTCTTTGCACTTTTATAAATTCAACGATTTTATGCCAAGTCATTTTTCACCTTTGTCTTTTATTATTATTTATTACAATGCAAAATAAGAAAAGACAAAACCAAAACTTAACAAAACCGCCACCCCCTAAAAGGCCTGGTGAACTAAACTTTAGTATCAACACAAGAGATACTACGTGCAATGAGTGTGGAGAAAACTTTACTAAACCAAGTAGTTTGAAATGCCATCTAAGAACTCAGCATACAAACTCTAATGTAGAACCTAGTTCTTCAACTGGGAATGCTTTGCTTGATGACTTGTTGGCAGCTTTGAACCGAGAACAGCTGGCAACACCCTTTATGACTGAAGTCGATATCAACAGATACGACTACTCTTCTGGCAAGGAATATGACAATGAAGATGACAATGAGTATAACAGGCATTATCAGGACGATCAAGTCTTTGAGCCTGATTTTGAAAATGATGTATCAGACCATAATGCTCTTTACAACTCTATTACTAACTACCTTTCTTCTTTTGACAACAACGATGACTTAGACCTGGAAAACGAATCTGACAACACTGATACTGAAACTGACCCTGCTAACCTTGCGGAAAAACTCATGACAGGCCCTATCTCAGGCTGTCATCCTTTTTCCAATTTGCAGACAATGGTACTTTGTGCTCTCATTGATGGCAACAACAACATAATCTCTCAATAGACTCTGAAGAAGCTTTTGTTCACCATGAACATGCTTCTCAAGATTCAGACTGACTCTGCTGGACAAGGAACATTCAAGCTCCCTAAGTTGAATGCGCTCATGAAGTACCAGCATAACAAGAAAAACAGGATCCCTATACTTTCTACTGTGGAAGTAAAAGATCTTACCTCGGACCCACCAACTGTAATTGCTGAAGTCACCCTGCCATCAACTCATATCGAACTTTTCATGGCCAATCCAGAAAAGTGCAAGAAGATCTTTTCTTTGCCTGACCAAACTCCTGACCAGTCTACCTGTTTCCAGCAAGGCGAGAAATGAAAAGATAACGAGTACTTACAGCAGCTAATGTTTACTGTCAACACTCTTGATATCTGGGCTGGCAATGTTTTGACCTTAAAACATGCTCCCAACAATGCACAATTCCTGATTAAATCCTTTCACACCACATACAACTCACTTTTTGCAAGAGGATATTGGATTTGTATCAATGCAACTGGCGACTGTTACGTTGAATCAACTATCTCAGATATTAAAGTTGATTGCCTGGATACTATTGACATGGAAGCAAAAGCCAGAAACTTTGCTACTTGTATACCCACAGGTATTCAAGGCTTGACCGACAAACACCATGATCTCTTGTACAAGGAATATTGTTTGAAGATACTTGTTCCCAGTGAAGGTAATACTAATGTATATTATAAAGTAGTAATTGCTCCTATTGTTCTTTTTACAGATGACACTTCAGATAATTGGTCGAAACAGTACAATCCGTACAAAAGCTGGTCCATGAAATTTGCGGCAATGTCCTATGAAGAACTTTGTATGGCCATAAATATCCTTTTACTGGGCATTGTCCAGAAGAGGAATGGTTATAGTGGTCTGTCTCTTCTACCAACACTTGTCAAAAACTTCAAGAAACTAGAGAATGGAATGGTCATGTACTCTGCTGAACATGGGGAATATGTTTTGGTCGTGGCTCCTCTGCTCTTGATCGAAGCTGACACTCCCTGCCACTCTGAACTCTGTGGAATACTTGGTCCTGCAACTTTACTCCCATGCCGTAAATGTTACTGTGTGCTCCGACGAAATGTTTTTTTGGAAGTCAAGGAATATTTTCTCAAGAAACACATGCCAAGGACTTGGAAACATTATGTGATGGCTAATTCTACTGACAAACGTGAGACAATCATGCCTGATGTTTTAGGAACGAACACGCCTGTGAACGCAAGGGCACTTAGTTTCATGAACCATTCGTCTGGATGCCTACTCGAATTGAAAGCATTTGACCCATCAAAGGACACTCCAGTCGAGATTCTCCACACAATTCTGCTTGGTACTGCAAAATACTTAATCAATGAATTGGTGAAGAAAAATCTCAAGCCGCACCCTGACAAACTGGAGAGACTGGCCAATGGTTTGAAGGAGCATGATATCTCGACTGGCCTTTCTCGCAAGTTTACCTGACTCTTGAGACACTCTGGATCTTTTCTTGATAGAGATTTTAAGGTGCTACTGCAGATTCTTCCTGGTGCTCTACTTAGGGACTTTTCTGATAATCAAAAAATTGAAACAATTTTGCCTTGCTTTGTTGAACTTGGTCATCTATGTTCATTAGTATTTGTTAGACAGATTGAATCTAGATTTGAAGAGTACATCACCCAGGTTAACCATGCAGTGAACTCATTAATTGCCAAACTTCATGAATCTGATATGGCAAATGTTGCAAACCTGAAGCACTTGCCCTTATCCACCAAGCCAAAGACTCACAACATGATCCATTTGACAGAAGATATCAGACGATTTGGACCTGCCCTGAACTTTGAGACAGAAAAAGGTGAGCAGTTCAACAAGTATATTCGAGAGCATCTCATTCGTACCAACCAACTGAACACCTTGAGAGATATCTGCCACAAGTTCACAAAGCAGGCGGTTATGCAACATATCTTTGCCAATGGATCATAAATTAACAGCAACAGACAATAAGAGTACTCTGGACCTGGAATTGCAGAATTTATCAAGCCCAACAACAATAAAGATAAAGCTTTCTGCAACCTATTTCTTGGAGGATCTCAAGTGCTTGCAGACAACAATGACACCAGCAACATAACTACTTTAAAGGACAATTCCTTTGCTGCTTTTGTTATCAAGAACAGTATTGGCATGACTCCCAGCATTGAACTGATCTCTGGCTCAATGATTACTTTTCTTTGGCCCACTGCTCACACAAGTGAGGAGATGAAAAATAACTACCTTAAAGTAGAAATGACTGATGACTGTATGCCACTCGATTCTCTCAAGCCTCTGTGTAAGATTGATTTAATGAAAGTTAATGATACTACTTACATGATTAACTTGAGTAAATTCGGTTCATATTGATTCTACCTGCAGCATGAATTAGCATAGATTTTATTATTATCTCTTAGTATAATTTAGCATAGTTTAGTATTATTATTTCTTAGTATAATTTAGTATAGTTAATAAAATTTTTATGTTTTTTCAAGTGATTTGGAATTTATTTCATATCATTTTTTTTTTAAAAATCATGGTCTTTTTTCCAAATTTTTGCAAAGTCATTTCTTGGTTACTCCAAACAACTCCAAAATTTCCTTAATAAATATTTCATCTCACTTGAACTTTATTTTCTTCTCTATTTGGATGATTTTTTTTTAATTTGCAATATTATACAGAAGAAAATTTTCTAGACCAATCATATTGCTAGGGTTCCATACATAATCATATTTGGTTTCTGATTTCTTTTGTGGTGAAAAGCACCTGTAATAGTGAAGTACAAAAGCAATCTAATAAAATATAAATATGAATGAGTATTTCAAATTTAAAAATATAAGTCAAATTAAAGCTTATATTTGAGTTTGCTGAGATGAATTTAGTAAAAATTAGAATCTTTACAAGTAAAAATAAGTAAAACATAATTAGTATTCAATCACTTTATAAACTAGGTGTGCAATTATTACCTCTTAACTCATTTTGACTAGATGATGAAAAGGCTAATTGTCAGTTAATGAAACTCTATTGTATTTGGAGAGAATAAGAAGCTTGATAAGTACTTTGAAACTCTAAATAGTTTTATTAAGAGATATTAGTCGAATTGAAAACTGATTAACAAAAGAGTGAATAAATAGAGAGTATTTATATCTAATAAAATTTATCTAGTCACATTTGTTTTATATCTTTTATAATGCCTATTACGCGGAAACAGTGTTCTATTGGATAGACTGTTATAGTGACTTGTCTTTCTTTTTGTATCACTTTAGTTACACATATACGTCAAATATAACAAACCCAAGATGAATAACTGTATCACAATGTACAATATTGATTTTCTATTATACATTTCTCAAAAACAAAAATATATAGACACATTTCCTAAAAAAATATACTAGATATAAACACACATAATTAACAAACTTTTGTTAGTAAAGTAGAGTAAGAAACAATGTGAAGAACATAATCTCATACTTATTTAAAATCGACTTAAAAAATTCTCATTGATCTACTGGCTTTTAATATCAATGTTGCAACTCATAGAAATGTTTTTAAAAAATTCCAAGTCATTCTCTCTTGGTTTGTCTTATTTTTATAAGTTAAAGAAATATGTTTTAATAGTAAATAATTGAAAATACAGCTGTAGCTTATTAATATAAGATATGTGTATATGTCTATATTTTCATTGGGTTGAGTTACGTCTTAGAAAGATTACTCTTGCTAGGCATTCTTTACTAATATTATGTAAAAAACCAAAAAATCATACATTTTTTCTTATTTGAAATTTCAATAAAGTCATTTTATATACTGAAAATTGTGGCCTTTACCAAATTTTAACAGAATTATTTTTCTATTACTCAATAAAATCTTCACAGTTTCTTTTTCAATGTTTTGTCTTACTTAAATAACTTTTTGTTGTGATTAAAAAACTTTGAAGTAAGACCAAATCTTATTTTCTCTTTTATTCGGAAGAAAAAATATTCAACTCATGAAATTATAAAAGAAAAATTCTGTAGACTAATAATATTGTTTGCGTATTACACCCTACAATATTTGACTTCTAATTTTTGTGATAGTGAAATTTTTTGTTTCATTTTGATTTTTTGGTTATTTTTTAATTATTACAGCCCAAAAATAAAGTTACAATTATAAAAAACATTCCTTTTTTCCCATAGTGTATAAGCCAAAAATGGAGTAAAGTATTTTTTTTTACTTTCAATGTAGAGTTTCTTGTCACACTTTGCATATGTAATATATTTTGTCATTGCATCACAATTCTGCAAAAACATAGGTATATTATATTAAATTATTCAGAGTTTTCTTCATTCTTTTACTCAAATTTAAAATCAAAATGTCTCCTATCTCACACAACAAAGCCCTATCAATTGCAGTCAGACTTAGATACAGAAAGTCTACCGCTCAAGTAGCAAAGATTGTTGGTGTTCCGCAGTCTACTGTCAAGAGATACAGACAAAAATATATAATTTCTTTCTCAGTTTCTGGAGGTAGATCTGCCCAAAATTGACAAAAGGCTTGCCTACTGCATTATATATGCATTCTGAAATAAAGAATTTGTAATGACTATGCAAGCCAAGAGATAACTATGTGGTGAAGATTTTGCTGTGAAGACTTCAGCAATCCATACCTTGTTGAAAGCATCTGGGTTAACTGTCATCTAGAATTGTCTCCAAAGGTAAAAACAAACTCTGCTATCTGTAAGCAGCAGTAACAGTACTTCCCCATAAAAAAAACAAGTCACGGATTTCATAGTGTTTCATTTTACATAAATAATTATTTATTACATGTATTCTTTTTAATACTCTCTCTTAAAAGTCTTATCTCTTATATAAGCTAAAAATGTCAACTTTTAATATTGCCAATGATTACAAGAATTGTATTGTTTCTGATTATATAGATTTTATTGCCTTCTTAACTCTTTTATCTGAAAATGAGCTCACAAACTCATTGAATAAAGTAGCAAAAAAGCATGTCAATTGAATTTATCATCAATTGTATGACCATAACAAAAATAGTGCTTTTATTGGGTTGTCTTTTAAAGAGCCTTTAAAAGTAAAAACAGTTATATGCTTATGTGATCATGCTGAAAAACCTCAAAAAAAAACATCTTCCTTGCAACAAGTTCAGAAGCATGTTAGAACTATGAAATCTATAAAAATCGGTTGCCTAGCTAACATATACAAGCATGTTATGACTGATGGTACAATTTGTATCAAGTATAACTGGCAGCATCCTGATCATGATCCCTTTGAAATTGAGGAAATAGGCTCCTTCAGATTGCTCAATGAGCTAAAGCAATGGGTGGAAGGGCTTGTTGGCCAAAATATAGATTGGAAATCTATTAAGAATATGCTTAGAATGAGTGAAGATCGAGTTTTTGAAGTAAATATTTTATAATATATTTTGGTCTTTTCTGACTTTAAGCTATATAGCTTGAGCAATCTGGTTGCCAATATTTTTTCCCTGCATATCTTCTCATAGATTATTAATATGTGAGAAATGTTATCAATACCTATGTAGTGAAGCTTTCAAGAAGACATGTCAATCACAAAGAAAGTGTCAAACTATGGATAGAAGAACTCTGTAAGAATAGAAACGCAACTTTGTTCACAGTTCATCAAAATGGATCTTTTGTTCTTTCATGAGTTTCAAATTGGCAAAAAGAAGTGAATATATTTTTTATTTAATGTTATTTATTATATATACTTGTTCAATTTATAATTATAAAAGTATCTTGAAAACTCTGAGGAGTGATATATTGACTCTACATATAAAACAAGCAAATCTTTTAATACTTCAGCTAGTAAAGATTCAAAAGATTGCTTTCTTTATACAATTGTTATTTGCAGCCCAATTACTAACAAGAGATTACCCATCTGCTTTTTTTATAACAGATCATGAATTTGTCTCAACTTTAAGTCAGTGGTAGCCATACGGCTACAGAATACTTTTTCATTAAAGGTAAAAAGAATAATGATTGACTGCCACTGGGGAATTAGATTTCTACACATATGCGATAGTATGGGAAATTCTGAGTGACAGAATAATTAAATTCTGGAATTTGGCATTTATAGATTCCATTCGCAATATGTTATGTTACCTGTGAGTTGTCCATATAACTTCTGAACTTATAATGATCCATATAGAGATGTAAGGTTCTTTTAAACTATTTAATCGCAGAGAGAATAATCAAATTATGGCATCTTTTTTTTTAGATGTTACATTAAATTAAACTTGATTTGAAACAGAGATTCCAATAAAAAATCTATTTTTGATAGAAAACAATCTACTGAAATAGTAGAATTCTATTGGATTACTTTACAGAGAAAACTGTCTACTGAAATAATGATATTCTATTAAATCATTTAACAGAAGAAACAGGATTTATATATACTGTCCTCCGAATCTAAACACTTTTATTGGACAATTATGCATGGCTAAACTATAGGATTCACACATGCCATACTACTGCAATACTTCTTGCACTTCATTTCAAATATTTTTATAGGGTTTGTTTTGGAAAAATTGTTTTTATTTAAAAAAAAAAGCTTCTTGCTTATAATATGTACGGCTTGACAATATATAGTCTAATCTAATATATAAGCTACTACATAATTAATATAATAACAAACCCTTTCATATATTATAATATATAAATACTTCCAATACGAGAGAATCCTAAAAAGAAACACGTGTTTACAGTATTTCACTAGTAAGAGAAGGCTAAAAAATTATTCAATTATATTAGATTATATAAATATTTATTTTTCTTTAATTTAAATAATATGGTTACTTACCAGTACTTTCATCAGAACCAGGCATAGTACACATTGACTGTTGTTCTGAAAGGTTTAATAAAACGCATTAGTAAAGATCATGGAATAAAGTTTGGCTTTATTACTTACCAAAGAAAACCGGTTTTCAAAGACAAGCCATTCAATCAGGTACATAGAAATGTTGGCAGTACTAACAGAGATAAAAAATAAACAAAATTAGATATAAGAATAAAATAAATAAATACATTATTCAGACTTACCGGATAAATTTCTGCTGTTGGTATGTCTTTATGATGAGCTGAGGAGAGAAAAAGAAAATAATTAATAAAGAAGCACATACACAATAACCGCGTTTTACCTTTTTGTTCTTGTCCATTAATCAACACGGCAAAGACTTGTAATACTATCAGCAATCACAATAATAATAAAAGAAAAAACATTAAGAATAAATATAACAGTAGAATAATAAAAACAAATTGCTTACCAGGGTGTGAACTCAAATACATCAACCAGAATAAAAGTAAATAAAGCGGAAAAGAAACAGGAAAAAAAGAAATAAGAAAAAAATAAAGAAAAAGAAGAAAAAAAGTGGGCTTTCAAACAGAAGGCAGTTTAGATGAGAATTGACTCTAGTAAAATACAATAGTAATAAAATGAATAGTCCGAAATTATATTGTACCACTAAGTTCTATGTTGAATATTAAAGAAGTTGTTCAAGGTTATAAAGGATTTTATAGAAAATAATATATAATCCCTTCCTTTTCTCAGCTATTTCATAAATCTACTTTATATTAACTTATTTTGTATGTATATCTTTGATTAAACAAAAATAAATATATTTCAACCCATACATTTATTTTATTTTAATAATTTATTAATGTATAAAACTTTAATAAAAATACAATAAAGAAAAAATGCCTTCCAATAGCAGCAGAAAAACAGACCGTAAAGGAAAAGGAAAAGCATCTGCAAGTATATCTACCTCTGCAAACCGTGTTTTGGCTGGCCGTGTTGGACCTCAAGAAATTGCCCCCAGTTTCTCATCTGCAACTATCCAAGATCAGTGATACACGAAAATTGTTGAAATGTTTAACAAAGTAAACAACAATATCAACGGTGTCAAGGATGACATTGCTGCTGTCAATAGCAACATGGCAGCCTTTAAAAACAGGATGGGCGTTGTTGTTGATACGTCTGGAAAGACACATACGACATTTGCAGACTTTGCAACTGCCTATGCCAATGATCAGACTCATATGGCTAGTCTAGGACCATCTCTGATGCCATCCTATGTCCCCCAGACCTCCCTCAGTGATGCCGAGGTTTCTGTCATTATCTCGGTAATTAATATTAATATATGTTAGTATCAACAACTTATTAAACAACCTGTATTTAGGAAATCTTTGCAGAAAAGTTGTGGGACTGGAAGTTCGAGTCTGACGACCCTGCTCTTGTTGCTGAGAACGAGAGTAAGAAGAAGTGGAACTTGAATGAGAAGATTAACTACCGCGATAACGTAGCTGTTATCAACTACTTGAAGAGCTACATTAGCGCCCAGACTCGTCTAGCTGGTACTCACCCATGGGTGATAAGTGATAAAATAAAGAACAGGTACAAGCACAGTCATCGTACTTTTCACGAGTCTCCTGAGCAGAAGGCCAAGAAAAACAGCAAGGGGAGAGCAAACAGTCGTACTCTTCAGGTTTGTATATACTATATAAAAAATTAATTGGTATATTACTATTTTCTCAAGCTACAATCTATATAACCAGATGTTTATCCAATGCAAGTCGACATACATGGACAACTGGGTAGCCATTGATGCTGCAATGGGATATAAGACTGGAAACCCTGTTGAGAAGGCCTATCTCAAACTCTTTCAGAAGGATGCCATGTCTGATGGTGAGTTGGATATTGAGATTGTGGACAATCTTCCACAACGGTGTTTGCATGTAGCTCACTCCACTTGGAGAAGTGAAGAGGTAAATAATATTTAGAATAAATAAATAAGTTTTATAACAAGAAAAATAAAGAACTAATAAAAATAAATACAGTTCAACAGATTGTTGACAATGGTTGATGACATTGATTGTACCCATCACGTGTCAAATGCGGGCATGGGAACAAAGCCAAGAATGAACAGATATCCAGCAACATTGTTGCCTTGCTCTGTTCCTGCCACCCTGTCCCAGTCATTGCCTCATTAGGCAATCAACAATGAATAAACATTTTCTTTTTTACTATGTTCTGTTGTAGGGCTAAATAGTAATAATTGAAATTGAATTGATTAAAGAAAATAATAATAATAGAAGATAAATATATAAGTAAGTGTGTGTATGAGAATTAATAGTAAATTTTTTTTGGCAAAGGAATCGCGAGTTTTTTGTTGACGTTTTTTGTAGTTTTGTAATCTACTATTGCAACTGTTAGGAGAATCCGATGTACTGGCAGGATGCTTTGAAAATCTTGCTTATAGAATTCATCCTGTAACAACTCAACTCCTTCTAATTCTCTTGTTTTGTCCAAAGTGGATTTGGACCACTTGACAAATGCAAATACATGCTGACTACTATGGGGATTTCTGTATGTTAGAGAAGAAACAGTTGGCCTAAAATTGTGAACAAAAAGGTACTGAATATCTCCAACATACACATGTTCTGACCCAGTTCATTTAGTGAAATATGCTTGTATGTATGATCCGTGGCCATTTGTGCCAATGCACCCTTTGTAGCTTTGCCCAAGAAGATCAACGGACTTCACCATTTCGATCCAGTCATTGACGAAAGGTGAGTCATCAATTACATCTTTGCAACCTGAGATCTGTGGATTCTTGTACACAGCTTGATAGTATCCTACAAGACAATCATATTCATGTTTTGGCATAAATGATAATGGTCTTGTTTTCAATGGCAAGGCGGATGGTGGCAGGGGCTCGTTTCCACGAATTGTCATTGAAAGTGTTGTGAATGAGTATTGATTACTGCTGAATCTGAGAGTAAGACTGAAGGATAAAATAATATCCTCAGCTATTCCAGTCAAATGGATCTCCCTTTATGATATTATCTAATACACAGATCATCATACACATAATTGATTATTTATTATTATCACCATGACATGGGATATACAAATACATATACATTATATATATGGCATCATTATATTTCATCTACATATTTCTTTTATTATACAAATACTTAATTGAGAGACTACAACTACAACTATCTAATATTATGAAACATTACCCGAGTATCTGGGCCGGAATACTAAAATATTACCAATAGCATAAATGCTCTTCTTTACCAAAACTCTTGGACTGATCTGACTGGAGAAGTATCATATCAATTGGTCTTTCCGGATCTTTCCAGAAGAACAATACTCCTGGAAGATGACTCATTGTGATAAAGATTACTTAAGCACACACTGAATTACAAATTAGAAAACATATAAATATCAATAGATAGTTCCGTGTAGAAAGACAATCAAATTTTATCATTCTTTACTTTTCTTTTGAAATAAACAACCTACACAAGTTCTCACGAATTCTTTTGTCTATATTATATTTTGCTTTATTTTCTCCCCACAACAATATGACTTGAATCTTTGCTCAAGTTTTTCTTCTTCTACAATAATGACTTTCTATAGTGCTTATGTTTTATTGCTTTTCTTATATATAGATCTTAAATATTAATACATTCTTTAATATATATATATATTCTTAGAGTGAATGCTTATTTTACTGAATAAGTAAGCATATTATATAAAGGTAAGCATTATAATAATATTATATCTATTTATTTATTTTAAGTTTTTTCTCTAATATTAGTATATTTGTAGAAATCGGTAAAAAATAATAAGTGCTATCTAAGATATATTAGAATACTCAAAGTATATGAAATAAAATTTGAATAGTAGTGTTTTACTGCATACATTTTGCAGTAGCTAAACAGAACCATTTTTTATTGCGAGTGACCGATGGAATTGTTTTTCATTATTACTATTATTATTATCATTTTCATTTAAAAAAGCATGCATTGAAATAAAGATTCAATTTAATTAAATCTGATTCAATACTGTATAATAAAAAACAGACCATTCTGTTAAAGCTGCAAAGAAAAAACAAGAGGTTGTGCTAGAATTGAAAGCAATAGAACAAAAGAAAGAATGTAATAGAGGAAAGGAAGGACGCTTGATTTTTTTTTAAAAAATGGTAACAGTGCCTGTTTTGGCTTTTTACATAATAAATAACTGCTATTTTTTATTATGAAAAAAATGGTAACAGTGCTTGTTTTGGCTTTTTACATAATAAATAACTGCCATTTTTTACATAGTAAAAAATGGTAACAGTGCCTGTTTTGACCTTATACAGAGTCATTGTTGTATCCAACATAATCGTAGATTCAAATAGAGCGCACAGACAATAAGACAAAGACATATTGAATAAGCGACCAGTATCAATTATACATTATTTCTCACACTATCATTAAATAAAGAATATACCGATAACAAGGTCACACACCTTAGTCAACATCACTAATAACTCAAACAAGAGCGTGGGTAATAACTTAACAATATATTATCTATGATATAAGAAAACAGACATCACATGATATACTCATATCATTATCCTAAATACACACGCAATATCTATATAAACTCACATAGCAAATAGCAATAGAAGGGCATATCTCTTTTTATTAATAAACAAAGTCTCACCGTACTTCTCGTCTGCACTTTGTTTTTCTTTCTTTTCTAAAAATATAACAGTCATAACTGCCATTTTTTATTAAGTAAAAAATGGCAGTTATGTTACCAAAGTGGTAACATGTTACCATTTTCTCCGCCGTAGTGGGAAGGTTTGGGTATAGAGGTATCAGGAGCAAGATTTCCCAAGAAACCTGAGGGGACCACTCTTGTCTCTCGAGACACGTCACTCGTGTCGACTCACTGTCGACGTCAACACCCACGAGTCTGGTACCGCCCGTCACGGCTCACTGCCAGACCAAACCATCAAACGAATCCACCGTCCGGTGTCCCTCACCAGAAACTAGCCAAAGCCAAATGTATTTACAACACACGTTGCGTTAAACAACCGGTAACTTGGCCGAGTTGGTCTAAGGCGCCGCACTCAAGTTGCGGTCTCGAAAGAGGCGTGAGTTCGAATCTCACAGTTACCATTTTTATTAGAGTTGTTGGGTGTCGTTCCTAATCTAGGCTATCTTCCAATTGTCGGACATTATTTTGATGAATCCGAGAAATCAGGATAATTGACCGCAGCAGTTCTGTATGTCAAAGATACCTCATAGATAACGAACCGCAGTAATGTCTTGTAAAGATTAACCACAGTAACATCTTCTGAGCATCAACCGCAGTAAAAGGACTTCTCTTGTAATTAAATAGAGTATAATAGTTTACTGCGGATAATGCACAGTATTAGTTTAGAAAACTATATAAGACAATTCAATTCCTATCAATAAAAAGCACCTTTTATCCTCTCTTCGATTTTACATATACTCTCCGATCCCCAGTGGGTTTGACCTTTTGACTTTGCTATAGTAAAAGGAAGACCATCCCAGATCAGAAACGACAAACGTAGGCGAATTGGTCAAGCTTTAATAACACAGGAGTAAGCAAATAAGAGAGAGGATAAAAAGATGATTTTATTGTTTAATTTGGGTTATCTTATATATTTTTTGAAATGATTATTCATCTGTCAGAGTTGACATCAGTGATCAAAATCGGAAGTTACAAGCAACCAGTAATGGTTGACTTTTCAGAATAAAAGATCTGACTTTGCCAATTGGTCTTTTGTCTATGTTTTAGATGTTGGAGATGAGGAATATACTTGTAGAAAATATTACTAGATAACTAGCATCTAAGATATATTAACATAGCTATTCTTTTAGCTAGAAATCAAGTATTATTTTGTATAAATAGTTAAAAAATATAATTAATAAAAAATATCTTTTATTCTATCTAAAAACTATTTATAAACTTGACAATCCCAGTGGTATTTATTCTGCAACTTACACTATGGGAAAAAATGGCGGTTTTTTGCTTTTGTGACTATGTTTTCGGCCTATAATAATTAAAAAATCACTAAAAATTCAATTTGAAACTAGAAAATCTCTGTTTTTTGAAAAGGTTGACAAAAAGCAAATTGACCACCTACAATTAAATCTCCTGATAGACAAAAGTAAGCTTTAACTACAGACTTTACATTTTTAGTAAATGTAGATTGCATTTGATGACTATTAAAAGTCAGAAGAAAAAGAGAAGAAAATATCTAAACTTTCTGCTGAGAAAATAAAATATGTTAAGACAATTTGAAAAAAAAATGTATTACAAAAAAAAAACAAATTATAGGTCTGCAAGAGAACCAAGTGACAATTTTGGGCCGCGGTTAAGCTCTGGCCACACTATATATGTTGTTGTTGTTGTTGTTGTTGTTGTTGTTGTATTTATAGTCGCGTCCAACTTCACCAAACCAACCAATTCTTTGACATCTGCCAGGTGAACTACCTTTGGCTTCATTTGCCCATTGTTAACAACTGGTATACCATTTACCAAACGGACTGCCGCAATCTCTACAAGAGCAAGCAGTCACCTCTTGTTGTTGAGCCTGTGCTCAAAGAAGACAACAACTTTTCCAAAGAAATCCTTGTAAACTGGGGAGTATGCAGAATTTATGTTGCGGTTTTCATCAACCTGAATCTGTAATCTGATGTTATGTGCCTCCCTTACACAATTTTGGTCGAGTGCAGAGTCAATCACACAACCATTGACAAATGCCTTGTGGCTAGTTTGTATAGCTGCTTCAATCATACTACACTCTTCTCCCTTTGATTCGTAGAAGTCTTCAAGAAGTTTCAAAAGACAAGAAATGTCTTCAAAACTATCTTGGATCGTTCTATTCCTCAAAGGCCCCCAGAACTCAATATCAGACCCAGCACCAACATGCTCACCCTCATCTGTCAACAGCTAACCAGCAGTGGAATCTTCATATTGTAAGTGTCGTGCTGTTCTTGCTTCTGTAATCATGACAGTGGCTCTGGCCTCTGCTTGTCGTATTTGTGCTAAGCCAAGCATGATATTTCCAGTGTTAACATTTATAGCAGAATTACTCTTGATAGCCCTTGAGTATTCACTGATTGCCCGTTTCACGGATCTGGTGCTATATGCATGAGGTGGGCTGTATGCGTCAATTATGAGAGGATAGTGCTGAAGAAGATGCTGGTTTATAGTGAAAATATTGATTTTGATTTTTCCACTTGTAAGCAGCAATTCCAGGTACATGTTCCATATTTCAAGTTTACTGAAGAAAAATAGTTAGAATAAATAATAGAATAACACATAGCTTTTACTAAAATATACCTTTTGATAGAGGTTTGTTCCTCTGCTGATAACTCCCAGCTCATGAGTAAGTTACATGCTTGGACCAAGCCAAGTAATGCGTTCCAGGCAGTTGCATCTCCAATATGCTCTGCCACCAGCATAGGGATGACGAACAGAAGAAAGTCTGCCCAATTGGTGGCCTTGAACGACCCGGGGTTCTTGTATACATCCCTCTAATCGCCATGGAAGGATATAGGGATGTTATTTCTTGTTTTGTACATTGCTGTACCGATCTCCTTCCAAACACCAGAAGAAAGAGCAAAACAATAGCCTGTTCCATAGGTACCAGAAACCAAACCCCAGACCTGCTTGCTTATTCCATGGCAAAGTCCATGCATTTCATCGAGGGCAAAAAACAATGGTCCAGAGAATACCTTCAATGTTGCCAGGGGGATTGTCCGTTTAACCCTTTGCAGCTGGATGCACTGGCCTGGGAAAAATTCTGGAAACTTTCCAGCATACGGATATTGGTGCTGGGCAAAGTTCTGAAGTATTGTTCGTGCTTGGGACATTGGCCGACAACATGACAGATACGGCAACCGTCTTTGCTCATATGTCCAGAATGACATGCCAACTTTGCTAAGGCGGGAATGTTACCAGTGACCATTAAGACATGTACCTTGGCACGAATGGTCTTGTTTGGTGTCTTGACGACCATCCCTTTGCTCTCCAACACCAGGAGCTCTTTCATTGTTGGTTCCATGAACGACCAGAAATTGGCAGGTGCACCTGGACCTGGGATCATTGCAATCTGGAGCATTCTGCTTCTCTCATACTGGACCATGGGATTCAGGTTAAGAATGGTGGCATGGAGGATCGTTACAGAACCAGGAACATTGTGTGGTGTGAATCCATCAACAGACAACGAAATTGTAATGTTATCTTTTCCAGAAAACAGATGTTTTGCTTGCTGGTAAACCTGGTCATCAAACACATTGGTTTTACTTCCATCTGAGCTTGACTCATGATTATGGCAGTAATGCATATCTGCTCTTGTATTCTTGTTGGCTAACGCAAGAGCCAGTTGTCTTGCCAATGGAAGCTGTATCATTGTGGCAGCAGCAACCAGATCACCACCCTCGATTTCTCCACGTCTTGTTTTGTACCAGCTTTGTCCACAGTTGGAGCACTCAGTCTGGGATGGACTGGTAAAAAGCATACATACCCTCTGACAGATATCATGAACTGTCTCTTCAACACCAGAGAAACTCTTCAAAAGCTTTTTGCCAAGATGAGGAGTACATGCTCTGTATGTAATGCAAGTTGACGTTTCCAAAATGCTGTTGAAATGCTTGACTATCATTTCATGGGCATTGCAGGAGATACCAAAATCGTTAATGATCTTGAGAAACTCAAGATTCTTTGCATCGTCTTTGTCAGGGTTATGTGCAGGCTGACTGAAGTCAAGAACCAAAGGAGATGTTTCGTTTTCAATGATATCCATGTCGTTGCTAAGTTCTGCATCATACTTTAACAAGGTAACTAATAATTAGCATTATATAATAAGACATGTATATATATATATATATCTTATCATAGACTCATCATTATCATTATTACTGAAGATATTCATAATTGGATCATCGTTATCTTCACTGTTGAGTGTATCCATGATCTGATCTTCGATTGCATCAGCATGTTCTCTGCTTGTTTATGAAGATAACAATATAATTAATTACACTTTCTAATAGTATGTATGTGATTTGTAGTCTTACTTGATAGTGTCGTTTGAGACAGTGTTCAAAACAACATTGACTTGTCCAGGAACAGGTGTGGTCTGTGAAGTCTGGATATCATTATGTCTTCTATGACGGTTCTTAAAGCATTGAGCTCTACAACTCTTGGCTTTTTTAAATTGGTGTGGCGCTCTTTGCATTGATTGCATTAGTGACTATCAAAGATTGAATTTGAAGACATTTTTTAGGTTGGAAATAAACACTTAAGAATAAAGGTATGAATATTGATAATTCCTTTTAAATAATATGCCTTTATACTTAATAGCTTTGAGATTTGTATAGACTTAATGACTACAAGTAGGCAATGACATAGATAATACACATATAAACTCAGGAACAGAAGCTAAAACATTGCGTGATAGCTGTTATTAGAACTACAGTAGCCCAATAATAATATTGGCTGGACCAATAGGTTAAACTCATTTATATAAAACTAATAATAGACAATAGAAAATTTTTTCGGCCTTTATCTTTCTTTCATAACAATCCTTTTTCTCAGATAAACCAAACTCTCAACATGAATAACACCGATAACAATTCCATCTCTTTGCTACACGCCATGTACAATGAGATACTATCTTTGAAGGCAGGCCAAGAAAAGGCCAAACTTGAAATGAAGGCACAGATCGAAGAGTTGAAGCTCGAAATGAAGACGAGCAGTGAAGATTTGAATTTGGAGATTACTGCTCTCCAGAGCCAACTGGAGAATAGAAACATTTCCAACCAACACACTTCGCCTTCTGTCTCTGCCATTGTAAGACAAAAAATAAAACGAGTTGAATATATATTAATATGTCATTTAATAGTCTAGTGCTAATACCATCCGCAAACTGGTGAGTATATTCCGTGAAATAACTTTAAAGCATATCTTCAAGATGATAAGTGAAGACCTTGGCATTGAAGTAACAAGTAACGAAAAGGCCACACTCAATATGTGTACAAAGCTTATATGTGATGATATGGCTGCCCATCCTTCAGTGATCGCTCTTGGTCCTAATCCTAGCTGGGGGTCTATACCAGTAGCACTTAAGAAAGAAATGTGTGCCAGGCACGCAAATATAATGAAGGATTCTGGTATAGACTTCACTAGATGTCTCGGAAACTGGGCATCAACTGCAAGAGTTGCACATCTCTGGAGGGACCGCCATAAAAGATTACAGTCTCGTAAGTAATCTGGTGTAGTGGAATTGAATAGAATATTTTACTATAAAAACCTAGAATATTAAATAGTAAATAGCCAATAAAATGTATCTATAGATTTTTTTATGCTTTAACAGCCAATAAAATAAACAATATTATTTATTTTTCTGTCATAATAACCAGTAAAATAAACAATATGATTTTTTTTCTGTCATAACAACCAATAAAAATGATTAATAAAAATGATCTTCTATTGTAATAACCAATAAAAATTTGTATTTATTAAAATGATCAAACATTTACATGTATATTATCCAATAAAAAACTGTTTTCATAAAAGTAACATTAAAAAAAAATTACTAGTGTCCAATAGAATTTCTTTCTAAGCTAAAATATTAAAGTAATAAATGATATTTAAGAGAGTACCCAATAAAAGTAATCGATTATATAATATACTTTATATAATAAAGAATGAAACGCTGTCCAATAGAAGAGCCAACAAAGGAGAATCAGAAAGCGGTGATCTGTAATATGTATTTAAACTCCAGGGGGGCAAAGTGGATATTTGGCAAAAAACCGCCACAAAGCCGCCTTGTCAAACCGCCATAAAGCAGCCATAAAACCTCACATTTTTTTCCCATAGTGCTACATATCTGATTTGCTTAAATAGATGAAACTGATTGCTATATACTGAAGCTCTATTGGCTCAGAAGAATGTTGCCAGGTGGCACTTTTTAACGATTTTTGCCAGGTTGGTAGTTTAATACCTGCCATTTCTTACAGTGAGTGCTACCTTCTTCGAGAGGCTCTTGCTCTTTAGCGAATTCTTTTTCTTTTTTGATTTTTTTAATTGCTAGAAATATTAAGCATTAGATATTATATTTTAATTTTATAAAGACTAATAATACAATACATTTTTTGAGAGGCTCCTCCTCTAAACACTCCTTTACCACATCTCTAAGCTCTTGTTTTATCATCTCTTGTATCTCGTCCTACAATAAATAGATAAATATATTTATTAGATCGTGTAAGCATATATATGTATACTGTGTTCTTACTTTGCTTTTTTGAGCAAGGAGATGCCTGTGCTTGTGCAAGACATAGTCCTTTGGAAGAGCACTTTTTTTTTGATGTGTTTTGGTCTTCCAGCAGCTTTGACTTCACTAGCCACAGAGAAAACCATCTCAGGGTGGTCAAGATATTGTTTGGCATTTTCAATGAAGTTGTTGACCTTTGCCATCAGGCCACAAACTTGCTGTTCACCTTCACAGTGCCAAAAAAGTTTCTCAAGCTGAGAAACAGACTTCATCCATGGAGCAGACTCCTTGATAGTAATACTATCAGCAGCATCAATGTCTTCAGTTGCATTTTGGCAAGACGTAACTGAAGAGAGAAGCCACTTTTCCAGAATATTGGCCAAAGTCAACACACGATCTCTCAGAAGACTGTGATGATAAGGGAGACCAAATACCACTTTTACTGTACAATGGCAAGGCTTACCAGGGGTAACATCTTCCAGCATTTCGGCGTGTATAGTGTATAAGGCCATTCTGGAAACTGAATGTATTAATCCACAAAGATTACCATCATTATATATCATGGCATCTGTAATGGTTGTCTCATTCAGCTCATGGTCCTGGTAGTCACCTTCAAACTGAAAAAGATACATACAGATTTACTGAAAGAAAGAGTCAAGAGTCTGAAGGGCAGAAATTCTTCTTTTCAAAGCATGGTGGCCACTCTCAACACGTTGCGTTGTCACACAGTCCAAATGTCTAAATTGACTGGTGATGTAGCCAGCCCACTTCTCCTTACAAGTCATCCACTCATCCTCGAAATACTTCTCAAAGGTTTTTTTTCTACGATCTTTGCATGATCCTCTTCGTCTTCCTCATTCTGCTCCTTGCTCTTAAGATCTTTGCAAGAAGACAAAGACTTGAAGAGTTCAAACTTCTCATCAAAAACGTCGCGCTTATCACTGAAGATCATATGATTGACCATGTTTGTGCAGATATTTCTTTCGTTTCCTGGGTTCATTGTCTTCTTGGCTATATTGGCGACGTTATTAATCATGTGCCAGTCACAGAGAAGCTTTGTGTTCATGGATAACACCAAATCCAATGCATTCATTAATGCCCTGCACTTGTCAGTTACAAATACTGGTCTTTCTTCGATTCCTTCGAGTACAATTGCTCTCAGAGATTCCATAAACCAGACATAGCTGAGTTCTTTTTCATCAGCTACCCAGGCAAATCCTACTGGGAAGCTTTTCAATCGTTCTCTACCAAGGTTACTGATACCTTCCACACACACCAATGACATCTTTGCATAGTTGGTCTTATATGTGGCATTCACAATCAAATCTCTGGAAATTGTCAGGCTCTTTTGATCATTATTTCATTTGTGAAAAAAATGTGTGTCAGTCTGTTCATTTCATTGGACTTGTACAGAACCATAAATCCCTTTGTTTCCATATTCTTAATTAGTGTCGTAGCAGCATAGTTCGACTCATCATCTCCATGTGTAGCGCTGTACTTCAGATTGTTGATGTTACTGATTCTGATTTTTCTCATACCAGTAACCTTGTCACTGGTAGCTTTTTGAACATCACAAGCTTTTGCGTGATTTTCCAAAATTATCTTAGCAATATTGGCATCTTCGGGAGTTAGGAGACATATTCTTCCTTGATGGGAAGAAGCCAAGTTCTCCAGGGGTAATAGGGTGGTTGTGGCAATGTTCATTGTTGCCACAGGCAGGCAAAGGAAGATATCTGTTGCTCTTCTTCTTATAAGAGAAACTTAAAATATATGAGCATCCACTGAGAGAAGAGTTTGGCGCCTTCTTTCTTTTATCCTCACTAATGTTACACTTGTCACAATAGGTGCCAGCCTTTGTACAAGCAAGATGAAGTGTGGGAAATTTTCCATCCTTAATCTTGACAGTAAAATTATTAGAAAGGGCATAGTCATTTACAGCCTGAAGGACACTCTGTTTATCAGGGTAACCGTTCTTAGGGAATGAGAGAGTTGTTTTAACTGAATATATCTTTTTAATGGGGGTAGCAAAGTTGTTGTTCATGTTTAATAAAAAAGTACTGTGTTTATATAAGTATTTTTATTGATTCATATATGCAATGTAGGCAATGTACATAATGTAAAAAAGACATTATATCCTGTTATTTGCAAATATTATTTTTTATTCTTACAACTAAATGTCAATGACTTTAAAAAGGGGGTGTTTCTATTTTTCCTGGGAAATTAGAATGCTCTAAAGATGGGGACAGGAGGTATGCTTATAAAGGATGGAGGCGGGGGGTTCTTTAAGACACTTTATAGCCAGGTCTCGGACTGGCAGTCTCCTTAAATTGTGCAGTGCCATTACCTCCCATCCCCTAAGATTGCTGATTTACAAATGTTTGCAATTCAGGCTCGAAGACACCCTCTCTACTATTTATTTATGAATAAAAACAACTTATATACGGTCTCAAGATATTTCTATATATCTTCATCTTTTACATTTATTATTTTCTATTGTCTTCATATCTGAAATATCATATCGTATCTTATATTAAAAATATCTATTGTTTCCCAGTAACCTGAAAAACATCTCTCTGCCCAAAGCTACATCTATTAAGACTGACTTGATTTGATATTAGAGAGCTTGTTAACAGAGTCGATTAAGCTTATACTTCGACTTAGGCTTATCAGAGTATATATTTTTCTTATATCAACTTCAACTTCTTTTCTTGATAAGCCTAAGTTCTCTACTTCGACTTAATCCAATTGAATAGCAAGAACCTTATCCTACAAATTTATGAAGACATATACAATAATTAACCTTCAATACTTCTTACATAAAATCTATTATAAGACCCTTAGATAATGTACAGACCCATATCAGTACTGAATGCAATATTTAAGGTTCTGTCAAATCAAGGCATCAACCTCTTTAACATTGTTATACTAGTTTGTCTATATTCACTTAACATCATATGTTTGAAAACATATATATACTAAGATATGGCTCTTAAAAAAATAAAAAGTAAATTTATTAAAAAAATTAATAATGTGTTGACCCTCCATGAGCCTTCTTCATCTCATGTAAGCAGTTAGACATTGACATATAATGTGTTTTGCAAACTTCAGCCGGAATATTCTTCCATTCTATATGAATAGCCCTCTCCAACTCATCAAGATTTTTTGGAGAAGGGACCCTGGCCTTCATTTTTCTGGTAAGATATTTCCATAAACTCTTTATGGGGCTGAGATCTGAACTGTTCAGCGGCCATACAATCATTGGGAAGTTCTGACGCTTCTTCCACTCTTCTGCAAGCTTAGACTTATGGCAAGGAGCATTATCTTCTTGGTAGATAAACTCCCCACCATTTTTCTTGCTGAGAGATTCCATAAATGAAATAAGTTTCCTCTTCATTAAGTCCATATATACATACTGGTCAAGCTTGTTTTTTTATGGTTTTCAATGGGCCAACTCCTCCTGCCCATACACAGACCCAAACCATAATGGAGCCTCCACTACACTGCAGTCTTTGTATAATAAACTCTTCTCTGTATTTTTCTTGAGGATACCGCCATACTCTAGTATTGCCACCTCTGCTGAGAAGCATAAACCTTGACTCATCGCTCCAGATGACGCGATCCCATCTCTGATTGGTCTCTCTGGCATGATTAGCAAATGCCAATCGCTTCTTCTTGTGTGCTTTTGATAGCAGTAGCTTGTATAAAACTTTACAAGAAGACAATCCAAATTTACGAATAGTTTGGCAAATGGTAGACTTGGAGATGTGATGCCTTAACGTGTCAGAAATGAAGATGGTACAACCCAAGTGTTGTCACAATTCGTATTTATCTCATTAATCAAGTGACGCTCATTTCGCTCATCTATTATCTTCGAAGTTCCTTTTCACTTATTAGGAAATGCAGTTCCAGTATCTCTCCATCTATTGATTGTGAAATACACCATTCCTAGAGGTATACCATTCTTCTCAGAAATTTCAGCAGCTGTGCCATTTACTGTAGCACTACTGACTATAATTTTTCTTTGACAATCTGAGAGCTGCTTTCGTTTGGGAAGAGTTTTCTTTTTGTTTTGGTGAGACATGGGGAGATTTGAATAAGAAAAGCTTTGAAAAAATAAATGAAAAGAAGTTTAATGGTAATGCCTTGATTTGGCGGAATATTAAATATTGCATTTAGTACTGATATGGGTCTGTATTAGAACGGTGTCTATTATCAAGACATTGATTTTGAGCTGTTTATTAAGAAGATTCTACTACAATATATATATATATATACGAGGTAGACCAGTTGTCCCCATTGGGACAGTTTAAGAAGCAATAACCATACTATAAAAAGAAAGAAAACCCCGTTCGTCTAAGTTTATTTCAATATTTTGTTCTTGTAAAGATTTTGTATTAAAAGAAAAATGGAAGATAATCCATGCAAAAATTGAAAACTTTGATTAAAGCAAAGTGGCAATAATAGCACTCTTGTGATTTAGTTTCTTTTTTTTTATAATTTGTATATACTCATCTTCTAATATTTATGATAACACTTCTTCCTAAAGTCTCATATGTGCTTTTTATACTGTTATCAATTTTAGGTATTTACTACCCATTTATACTACCTGTTTATTCTGCCCATTTATACTACTCATTTATGTTACCTGTTTATTTTACTCATTTTTTCTACTCATTTATACTACCTATCCACACTACCCGTTTGTCTAAATTTATGAAAGCCTTTCAAATTTCTATAGTTGTCTTGACAGCCCAAGGGTCTCTTGTGTAAATTAAATTGCTATAGTGTGTGGCATTTGATCCCTAACTTTATCTACTTCTCTACTGTTTATATCAATTAAACATATAATTACGTTTCGTCTATAGTATGTGCGAGATTCAGATATTCTCTAAAATTAAAAATTTACTTGTCTCTATTGTTCATCTTAATTGGACCTACAATTACCATCGTCTATAGCATGTGCGAGATTCAAAGCTTCCCTTCACAGTTAATTGTTTACTTGTCTCTATTGTTCATCTCAATTGGGCACATAATTACCATCGTGGATTACATGTGCAAAAGTAATTAATGGACTTTTTTTAAAATACTAAGGAATCCTATATAAGTCACGTGCAGAGTATCTCCCATTCTTTTTCTGTTTTAAAGCGCGATCGTAAGTTATGTGATATACAGGGCCGGTTGATTTTAATAATATGTACGAGGCGGCTACACTAATTGTAAATACTTTTCTGCAAGTCACAAATATTAAAAAAGATTAACTTATTTTATATATGATATATTTACTCTATACTTTATCTACTATCTCTTATATAAACTTAACTAAAGTAAAAAATGATTGCTGAATTGGTTTGTCTAATAAAAAGTATATCTTTCTTAATCAATTTCTCGAAAAATAACACATTAACTTTTTTTTTACAATATTTCTTCATTTTTTGGAAATTGCTCTCTTGATTGGCTGAATATGCTGTGACTTGCAGAAAAGTATTTACGATTAGCATTATCCATGTGCGAG